GCAGGACCGCCTTGTCCTGCTTCTCCTGCGGGAGAGACACCGTCAGGCCGCCCGTCCGAGCCGCCGCACCAGCCCTGCCCCTTACTCTTCACTCTTTTTTTATTTTAAACAATTACCTTTTTAAAAAAAATTGATTTCAGACAGGAAGGGAGAGGGAGAGGGAGAGAAACATCAATGATGATAGAGAATCATGGATCGGCTGATCAGGGTCTGAGAGCCATGAGAGTGAGCGCCCAGGCGTTACCTTGCGGAGGTCGGTCTGCAGCTGCCGCAGGACCAGCTCCAGCTGGTTCACCTTGCCTGTCAGCGTGGCTGGGGACGGCTCCCTGGCAGAGAGGGCAGAGTTAGAGACCCCACCCGCCCCAAGTCAGGCACCGCTCAGGGCACTGCTTTGTCGCTCCCTCTAAACCAGTGGTTCTCAACCTTCCTAATGCCGCGACCCTTTAATACAGTTCCTCATGTTGTGGTGACCCCCAACCATAAAATTATTTTCGTTGCTACTTCATAACTGTAATGTTGCTACTGTTATGAATTGTAATGTAAATATCCGATATGCAGGATGTATTTAGGCGACCCCTGTGAAAGGGTCGTTCGACCCCCAAGGGGTCACGACCCACAGGTTGAGAACTGCTGCATCCCCTGGGGCTGGGGCCCGGCCAGGGTGGACAGCATGGCACCAGCTCCATAGAGGGGACGTGGTGCTGCTTCACTGGAACACCTACCCCGCCCCATCTCCAGGGATCTGAACACTTTCAGAACCTCCCAGGGCACCTACGTTGGTAAGAAAACAAACACGGATGATCCCAATGAATGTCGGGAGACTAGACAGACCCCAGCAAAGGAATTCCTGGGAACTGATGGATTGAGTTCCTCCCTCGGCCCTCCTTGGTCATTACCAAGTTCATGGTCATTTGGCTCATATAAAAGCAGGAATTAGGGCCCGGCCGGCACGGCTCAGTGGTTGAGCGTCGACCTGTGAGCCAGGAGGTCACGGTTCGATTCCCGGTGTGGGGTGTGCAGGAGGCAGCCGATCCATGATTCTCTCTCATCATGGGTGTTTCTCTCTCTCTCCCTTCCTCTTTGACATCAATAAAAGTATATTATTCTTTAAAAAGCAGGCGTTAGCAATGGATGACACAGGTGAAGGACACACAGTCCTCGGGCCACAAGCACGGCAAGAACCCGGCAGGAGCTGGTGCATCCCCGGCGCCCTTCCTGGAAGGCGTGTGGCCTGGCAGGGCCGGGGCTGGGGGGACAGGGTCCTTGGGGTCAGCACTCAGCCTGGCCGAGAGGCCCCCCATGAGGTATCCCGTCTGCACCGTCAGTGACTGGCAGGCGCTGACCCGGGCCCACAGCCTCCCTCGCCGTGGGGGAGCCTCACACCATGGGCACCGGCTGCACATCTGGGTGGGCAAGACCGCCACGGAGCAGAGCAGGAGCCGGTCAGTCCCACCCCTCCCTGTCCCTTCTCTGGGTCTGAGGGGCAGCTCTGTGGGGGGGGGGCGGGGGGCTGCACGTGCTGTCGCGGACACCTCAGTACCTTCCTAATGCTTCGAGCTCCCGCTCCCCGACCACCACCTCTTCTTTAAAAAGTATAATCCCTCCGTGTCCCCTCCTCCAACAACCCAGTCCTTGTCTGACACACCCACCCTGCCTTCCCTTCCCTGCCCGTCACCCCGTGGACCGTCTGTCCTCACCGCCTGGACGCGGTCCCTCCCTTTAACCCTCATCCCACGCTCACCCCGCACCCTGCTTCTCGCACCCCGTCTCAGTCTCCTGTCTGGACCCTGAGCTGGCTAAGCTGACGCTCCTCCATCTGCACCCGCTCCACCCTCTGCACCCGCTCCAGCATCTGCACCGCTCCAGCACCGCTCCACCCTCTGCACCCGCTCCAGCATCTGCACCCGCTCCACCCTCTGCACCCGCTCCAGCATCTGCACCCGTTCCTCCATCTGCACCCGCGGCCGGCCGGTGGGGATCAGAGCGCTTCTCCCCAGCCCCTTCCTCTTCCTCCCGGCGGTGAGAGGGACACTGTGTGCGGAGAGGTCTGATCAGGGACTGAGAGCTGTGAGAGCGAGCGCCCAGGCGTTACCTTGCGGAGGTCGGTCTGCAGCTGCCGCAGGACCAGCTCCAGCTGGTTCACCTTGCCCGTCAGCGTGGCCGGACGGCTCCCTCTGGCAGAGAGGACAGAGTTAGAGACCCTGCCCGCCCCGAGTCAGGCACCGCTCAGGGCGCTGCCCGTTGCTCCCTCTGCCAGCGGTTCTCAACCTATGGGTCGCGAACAATGAAAATACATCCTGCATATCTAGCTGCCCTGGGTGTGAGGGACGGGGTGGCACCGTGGCAGGGGCTCTAGCTGCCCTG